GACCACCCTGTGCAAGTTGGGGGGCCAGACGCGCCGCCATGGGAAAACGGTGAAAGGGCAAGGGGGCGGACAGGAGCCTGGCAGGGGGCAGGGCACACGTCCCGGTGCGCCCGCTTGATTCGGAATTTGGGAAGGCCAAAAGCACAGGAACGTGCATCCAACAATGGTTGTGGCGTCCCCTCCTCGTCGGCGAACCTCTGGCCTCACGAAGGCCTCTCCAAGGGCTTTGGGGGCCTCTGGAAGCCTCTTCTGGGCCGGGCGCCTCTCGGGGCCGTCGTAGGGGGTCCTGCTGAAGCACGTGTGGGCCGTCTTGGGCCCGTCTTGGGCCGTCCTGGGGCCTACTCGGAGAACTTCGGTCCTCGTGGAGACATTCCCGTGGTCCTCGTGGGTCTCTCTTGGGAGCCTTTTGGGGGCCTCGCGAGCTTCTTTTGGGGGCCGTCTTGGGGCAGTCTCGGGGCCCTCTTGGCCCACCTTCGAGGCCGTCTTGCGCTGCCGTGGGTTTCCCTTGAGAAACGGGGGCCCTCGTGGGGACCTCCTATGGCCCTCGTGGGTCTGTCTTGGGAGCCTTTTTTCAGGGCCTCGAGAGCTTCTTTTTGGGGCCGTCTTGTTGCAGTCTCGGGGTCCTCCTTGGCCCAGCTTCGAGCCCTCTTGGGGGCCTCTTGGGCCTCCTTGGGGCGATCTCGCAGGCTTCTTGGGCTGTCTGGGACGCTGCTACGACACAATAAACGAAGATGCTAAAAAGGTACGTTGTCTTTCGGGCGTGGGACGATTTTAGCGTCTTGGGTCTTGGGGTCTGTCCTGAAGGCCTCGTGGGGTTTCTTCGGGGCCTTAGGGTCCTCTTGGCCCGGCTTCAAGTCCTCTTGGGGGCCTCTTGGGCCGCCTTGTGGCGATATCAGGCTTCTTGGGCCGTCTTAAACGCTGCCACGACACAAAAGCGAAGATGCTAGACATGTACGGTTCTCAGGGAATTAGGCGATTTTTGCGTCTTGGGGCCTGTCCTGAGGGCCTATTGTGGCGTCTTTGGGACCTCTCGGGCCGACTTTGGGGCTGCTTGGACCGACTTGAGGCCCAGTTGCGCTGCCGTGGGGCTCTCCCGCGCCTCTCCGCTTATTTCTCTGATCGCTCTGAGTTGGTTGGCAAGGCCCGGCAAGGCTGGGGGAACTCTTCCAAGGCCGTCCAAGGTGCTCCGAAGCTCCGGATCCCGGGGGTCCAGGTTTTTCGAGGGGGTCGAGGATTCCGCCCCCCCCGGCTTGTAAGCACATATGAAGAGATGCGTATGTGTATCTATATTCATATATACATATATATATATATGTGTATACATCTATGTATGAGGACAGTCATACCGAACACCCAATATCACATGTGTTCGCATGCGTCGGTGTTTCTGTTATTCTTATCCTCTTCGGCGTCCTGATCCTCTTCTTGTGAAACAGACTGACAGAAAGAGTGAGCAAGAGAGGGGGAGTGATAGAGAGAGGGGAAGAGAGTGAGAGAGAGAGGCAAGAGAGAGAGAGAGAGAGACAGAGAGACCGAGAGACTTGAGCGAGAAGCGGCCCCTGTCTCTCCTCCTACTCCCCCTTCCTCATCCTCCTCCCCCTCCTCCTCCTCCTCCTCCGCCCCGCTCTTTGTATCTCTCCTGCTCCTCCCCCTCCTCCTCCTCTTCCAGCTCCACCTCCTTCTCCTCCTCCTCCTCATCCTTCTCCTGATGATTTTATTTTGATTGTTGGGATGTTTGGATGGTGCTCCTCCCAGAAAAATGAATTCAGGAGCCTCTGGAGCTCAGAACCTCTAGAAACCCCAATACTCCCAAACATTTAAATGAGAACACCAGGTTTCCGCGATTCTCACCCCAGAACTCCCACACATCCAACTGAAAACACAAGGTTTGGCGAGCCCTGACGTTGCAAACCTTGTGATTCCACAGGGGTCGCTGCTCCCTCAAGACTCCCTCTCTCTCTCTGGCTCTGGTTCCCTCCTCTCTCTCTCTCTCTGCTTTTGTTGTTCTCTCTCTCTCTCTCCCTCTATTCCTCTGCCTCAGTCTGTCTCTGTCTGTGTCCCTTTCTCTGTCTCTCTTGCTCTGTCTCCCCCTCCCCCTCTTCCAGCTCCTCCTCATCCTCCTCCTCCTCGTCCTCCCTCTTTTGCGAAGATCACAGGGGAGAGTGAGAGAGAGAGAGGGAGAGAGAGAGAGAGAGAGACTTGAGGGAGCAGCGACCCCTGTGGAGTCAAAACATGTGCGTCGTCAGGGGTCGCCAATCCTTGTGTTGTCATTCGGGTTTCTGGGATTTCTGGTGTCAGGATCAAGGACGCCGTGTGTTTTCGTGTGTGTGGTTTGGATTGTTGGAGCTCCCTCATTCCATGAAGAATAGTCAGCCAGGATCCCCTGAAGCTACAGAACCTCAGGAATCCCGGAAAGCCCAACCACCCAAACAGAAACAAGGTTTCCTTGCCCTCATCACAGATATCCGATACATCCCAATGAAAACGCAAGGGTTGGCGACCCCTGACATCGCAAACATCTTGATTCCACAGGTGTCGCTGCTCCATCAAGGCTCTCTCCATCTCTCTCTCTCTCTTGCTCTGTTTCTCTCTCTCTCTCTCTCTCTCCCTCTCTCTCTCTCTCTCGCTCTTTCACCCTCTCTCTCTCTCGCTCTATAGTCGTTATGTATGTATATATATATAAATACATACACATCCCCCTCTCTCTCTCGCTACCTCTCTCTCAGTCTCTCTCTCTCTCTCAGTCTCTCTCTCTCTCTGTCCCTCTCTCTGTGTCTCTCTTGCTCTTTCCTCCCTCCTCCTCCTGGACTGCTGGTTTGGAAAGAAAGTCCCAACCATGCCAACAGACCCAATGACAACAGAAGGGTTCATTGTTTGTTCATCGTAGAAAGTTAAACAATCCAAATGCAAACAGGGATTGGCGACCCCTGCCGTCGCTAACCCTGTGATTCCACAGGGATGACTAATCCCTAACGTCTCTTTCTTCTCTCTCCCTCTCTTCCTACCTCTCTCTCTCTCTCTCCCTTTTTGGTTCTCTCTCTCTCTCTCTCTCCCTCTCTCTACCTCCTCCCCTGTGCGCTTCAGAAGATGAGGAGGACGGCGAGGAGAAGGAGGAGGACGACGAGGAGCTGGAGGAGAAGGAGGGGGAGAACGAGCAAGAGAGACAGAGAAAGAGTGAGAGAAAGAGAGAGAGAGAGAGAACACGAAAGAGAGGAAGAAATAATGACATGTTCAACGACCAGTGTGCATTCAATGGGTGCTGGGAGGGTGGTTGCGCATATACGTATATATATATAGAACATTATACATGTACTTGTTTCTCTATAGATATGTACACATGTTGTTCCTCACAGACATACATACACATACTTACACATATACATACATACAGACATACATCCATACATACATACAGACGTACGTACGTGCATGCAAGCCGACATGCGTACATAGCCAGACAGACACGCAGGTTGTGTTTGTGTGCACATATGTACATCTGTATATCTATACAATCGGGGAAGGTCCCGGCCCCGTTGCACTGGGCAATGCGGAGCCAGGCTCTGCAACCGCAGTTGCTCGGACACCGGGCTATGCGGGCACTGGGCAATGCGGAGCCAGTCTTTGATTTTTTTCTGCCCCAGTCGACGCGTCGTAGAAACCCCTTGAAGCCCCGCTTTCACAGTTTTGGGGCTAACATCTCCAATGGTAGCAGGTCCCACGACCAACCGTAAGGGAACTCCCGAGTCAACATGGCAGTACCCAAGGGCAATTTGCGATGATAGATCCTCGAGCGCGACCCGAACCTCAGCGCGCGAAGCGCGCGAGCGGGGTTCTAGGTTTGGTGTACTTGTACAAAGGGCTCTGGTTTCGGGAGAGCGAATTCGGGGTAATTTCAAAAGGATTCTGGCCTCGGGGGCGTGAATCTCATGTGGCACAGAAATTTAGAGCACGTGCTGAAAGGACGTTGGCCAGTCTGGTTTTCTGCCCCCCCCCGCGAGGACAGCAACAATTTACAGTAGTAAGCAGAAACTCGTGTTATAACATTGGAGATTGGAGCTGGCGTAGGAACAGGACACCTCAGCCCCGCAGCCCAGCGGTGCCGCAAAGGTGGCTGGTGGACCCGAATTATATTCTACGGCCTTGGGGGCTGGCTTGGGCTGGCTTGGGCTCAGGAGGAGGAGGAGGAGGAGGAGGCGGAGGAGGAGGAGGAAGAAGAAGAAGAAGGAGGAGGAGGAGGAAGAAGAAGAAGAAGGAGGAGGAGGAGCAGGAGGAGGGGGGGGAGGGGGGGGGGGAGGAAGGGGAGGAGCGATGGAAGGATCAAGGAGGCAGGGATGAGTCGGGGACGATGCAGGAAGAAGGGGCAGAGGCTGGAGCGTCCCGGGGGCTCTTCTGGGCCGCCTGGGAGGCCTCTCGAGCCGCCTCGCGAGCCTGCTCTTCCGGGGGCCCTCTCGGCGAGAGCCCGGGTCCGCGGTCCCCTCCCGACGAGCACCACGCGGGCGCACCCGAGGCGGAGGGCCCGACGGCAAAGCCGACGGCGCTGCACCCGACGGGAAAGCCGACGGCAAAGCCGGCGGCAAAGATAGTCACAAAATATCGGGAGCAGAAAAGAGGGGGGTGATGACTAGGGGGGGGTGGATTTCATGGCGCGGGCCATGATTTTCCCTGAGATTTCATGGCGCCTCTTCTTATTTCATTACGTCCCAGGCCCCCCCGCTGGGCCGCGCACATGCCGCCGGTCATGATTTGCACCCCCCCCTCTTCGACACCCCCCTCTTTGCCGCTCCCGAAGTCGGGGGACGACCTTTCACATTTTTTTGTGGAGCCTTTGTTCTGTATATGTCTGGGCTGTGTTTAAGTCTTCGCCCCCAAAATCTGCCCGAAGGGGGGCATGCCCGACCTGAGCCTCGTGCCTCGGCGCACGGGCGGCGGACAAGAAGGGCGTCGGGCTGGTGCCGGGCAACATCTCGGGCAACCGGGTGGTGAACGCCGTGGCGAACAAGATGCAGGCCGTCCTCCACGCGTCGTGCCGGGCGCGCGCGTCCGATCGGGTACTTAGGAGGTCACCCGCGAGCCCTGCCCCACCTCCCCAGGATTTTTCGGAAGGGGAGAGCGGGGGGGGGGGGACCCCTTCCTTCGGGGCCCTCCGAGCGAAGTGAACTCCACCTCCCCCCCTTCGGGGGAGCGTAAGACCCGGGTTTGCCGGGACTCGGGTTCGCCATCGTTTTTTGACGACCGCGCCTCGGATTTTGACGAGGAGGAGTTTCGTGGGATGTCTGCAGCGGGAGGCCTCGTCAAAATGCAGGCTCGGCCTCGTCATTTTTTTGACGACCTCGTCGGGGATTTCCGAGTCCCCCGTACCTGGGTCTTACGTCTCCCCGACCCCTGGAGACCGTGGGGCCGTGGGGTCGGGCTCGCGCGTGGCCTCCCAGGGGGGGGGGCAGCGTCGGGGCCGGAGAGCGGCGGGCTCGGTGGCGCGCGGGGCGCCCCCCGCGGGCGGCGGTGCGGCCGTCTGCCCGCTCTCGCTCGCGTCTCGGGCCCCAGGACGGGGCTGACCTCGGTCCCCCCGGCTCGATCCGATCCGACTTCGACAGGTTTTCGGAGCCCCGAATCATCAGGGGTAACTCGGGTCAGGGATAACTCGGGTTCTTTTTCCGGGAATCCAAACCCGAGTTACCCCGGACCCGAGTTACCCCGGATAACTCGGGCGTCCAAGGTTTCGATCCGATTCGGTTTCGGATCTTGACTTGGGAGCCGGTTTCTCGGTGGAGGCGCGTGGCTGACCTGCCGAGTTCCGCCGATTCGACTTCCTGCAGTCTTGGCTGGCGATCTCCGGCGATCCGCTTCCTTTCGACCGCCGATGCCGGTTTGTCGATTTGAGTGTCTGGGCTCTCCTGCAGGGCCCACTGGGAGCGACCCGTGGCGCGGGCTGCCACGGAGATGGGGCCAGGCAGCCTATTGAGGGCTCGGGGCAGCGGCCATCGTTCGAGGGTGAATTCGGTATCGTTTCACCGGTCTCTATCCCCATGCCCACTCATCTCGCGCCCCACCATCTCACCACCTCAGTTGGGGATATGCCCGTCGAGACCCGCGAGGGGAGCAGCCTAGATCCCCATCCAGGGGGGTGAATCGGCCAGTGGGGCCCGGCCCACGCTGGTGGGGATGGGGATCGGTTAAACGATGCTCATGAACAGTTCATCAGACATGGGGCAATTATCATATCTACTTTGTGCATATGGCGTTTGGCGCAGGGGCGGTTGCTTTGGACGGGGCATCCGCTGAGGCAGGCAAGCGGCATCATTCTTGCGTGCGGGGCGAGAAGATGTAGTTGTGGTTTCCTGCGTCTGTTCAAACGACAACACGCCTAGGGGCGTACCCAACCTATCTGCAACGTGTGGCAATATCAACGGGCCAGTCCAAGACAAATGGAAGCTGTCTGACAGCTACATGGAGAACCAATTCATGTCAAGCCAGATGGGACCTGCATGTGGCAACACCGAAGACGAGGAAATGGTTGGTGAGAAAAGAGAAGGACGACTATTAGGTCGATGTAAAGACGGGTGGAAGAAGGAGGAGGCTATTGACACCACCCAAGAAGACGAGGTCTCGTGTGGGTCTAGGGGTAAGACCGCGCACCGTTGGACCTTCACGAGCTCAAACCATTGGTAACATTCGCGCATCGGGCGGCACCCACTGTGTAGGCTGACTAAGACCGCACTGCGCTCAACAAAGCGGCGACTCTTGCGCAGTAGTCATCGCCCGAGTGAGCAAGTTTGGGTAAACTACGGACCGCGCCCCGCTAGACTGCCTCTCGGGAACTCACACGAATACCGACGACTGTTCAGCTGGAAGCCCACTGAGAGGCGAGGTCTAGTTTGGGTCTGGATAGGACGTTGCTGCGCCAGACCCCCCACAAGCTCACGAAAGTGGCGACAGCTGCGCGGCTGGTGACCACCCTCTGGAGGCGACGTTCGTCTTGGGTCTGGGAAGGACGTCAGCCTGCGGGACTTCCCAGGGACTCGCAAAAGTTGCGATTGCTGCGCAGATGTCAGCTCCCAAAAAGCGAGGTCCAGTTTGGCTGCACTTGCGCACCAAACAAGAGGCTGGCTTGCCAACGGGTGCCCCACGAGGATCTCTTACCTCGCGACGGGCCCACGGAACCTGGGGCACCCCACGAAGCCCAGAGTCGACGAAGGATGTGCCCGACGATGCTGTTGGGCAATCTTTCTTATCGCGTGGGCCTGCTGTTGAGCCTGACGCGAAGCGCCACGGCGTCAGGCCGCGAGGACGTCGCGCGGTTTGGCCCGCCCTGACCGTTCGTCGTTTGGGTGGGTCTGGCGCCGAGAGAAGGAGGAGGAGGAGGAGGAGGAGGAGGAGGAGGAGGACGATGAGGAGGAGGAGGAGGAGGAGGAGGAGGAGGAGGAGGAGGACGACGAAGAGGAGCAGGAGGAGGAAGAGGAGGAGGGAGGAGGGGGGAGGGATGAGGGAGGATGAGGAGGAGGAGGAGGGAGGATGGAGGCAGGAGGAAGGAGGAGGAGGAGGGAGGAGGGAGCAGGGAGGAGGAGGAGGAAGGAGGAAGAGGGAGGGAAGAGGAGGAGGAAGAGGGAGGAGGGGGGAGGGAGGAGGAGGGGGAGGAGGGAGGAGGGAGGGGGAGGAGGGAGGAGGGAGGAGGGAGGAGGGAGGAAGGGAGGGAGGGAGGGAGGGAGGGAGGGAGGAGGAGGAGGAGGAGGAGGAGGAGAGGGGGAGAAGGAGGAAAAGGGTCAGGAGGAGGAGGGAAGAAGAGAAAGCAAACGAGGATGGATCGAGGAGGAGAAGGATGAGTGTAAGACGTCAGCCCGCTGGGCGCCCTCGTCTGTCAACGACAAGTCCGTCGGGCGTGCGCGCCCCCTTCCGCCGCGCGGACGCGCGGCGGGCTGCCCCGGAGGTCGGTTGCGCGAACGAGTTCGAGGCCTCGCGGCAGCCAGGGGCTCGCAGCTGGCGGATTGTCGTCGTCAGCGTGGCCGCCACCGCCGTCCCAGTGGTCGCATCGAGGAGGAGGAGGAGGAGGAGGAGGAGGAGGAGGAGGAGGAGGAGGGGGAGCCGGAAGAAGAGGAGGCTGAGGAAGAGGAAGAGGGAGGAAGGGGGGGAGAGGGAGGGGGACGAGGAGGGGAAGGAGAAGAAGAAGAAGAAGAAGGAGGAGTCGGAGGAGGAGCGACGATCGAGGTCCGAGGATCGAGCAAGAGGGGGCGGGGGCGCAGGAGCAAGGGGGCGGCATGAGGAGTCGGAGTCGGAAAGGGAGGCCTGCCCCTCCTCGTCCTTGTCGCACTCAGCAGGCTCCGTGCTCGGCATCCACATCCGCCGTGCTGATCGTCCTCCTCATGCTCCTCGTCCTCGACCGCCTCCTCTTGATTTGTCCTTGTCCTTCCTCCCTTCTTTGGTATCCCCGGAACGATTCGGGAAGCGGTTTGAACTTGCTGGTTGTGCGCCCGTTTCCGACGAGTTTTCGATCCAGTTCAGTGCTTAGTAGCACCAATGTGCTTGCTTCGTTGCCCATGTTTCCCCAGACAGATGTATGTTGCTGCTTCGAGAATATAAAACAGGCAGCCATAGTAATCATACGCGTTCTGGTTGCATAGGGTCGTCGTGTATTGCTCGGCTTGAATGTTCCTACTTTGTTGAACGAGAAGTTTGCCCACGCCAATTTCGCAGTGATGCCCGGGAGGTTCAGATGCGAATGCAGATATGACTACATATGTTTGGTAGCGTGGGCTCCAGACCCAGACAGTCGGCTCCTGCCCTCTCAATGTGCACTTTGGATTGTGCAATGTGGATGCTATCTCTGCGGGGAGATGTAGTGCAATGTATGACATGATATCGATGTTTGCAAGGTGCGTGGTCCAAGCGAACGCTTGCAAATTTTGTAGAGCAGCTCACGGAGGGAACCCACACGTGGAAGGTGCAGTTGACAATTCAAACGCTCGTGCAAACATTCCACCCTTCCACCCGCAGCTTGTTGGCAAGCGTATCTGGCCCTTATCTCAGCGAGCGCGCGGGTAAGTCCGTCCTGCAGGTCGAGAAATGGTGGTGACGATGGTGACGACCGCTGATGCCGACGGCGACGATGGCGATGGTGATGAATTTGATGCTGGTGACAGTGGCGGTGGCAACGATGACGCCGGCGATGGGGACGATGATGGTGCTAGTGATGATGATAATGAGGGGGTGTCCGCGCGCAGAACAGAAACGAGGGCGTCGACATTGATGACGGCGATGACGGCGGCGCCGATGACCCAGACGATGTTGATGATGTTGATGATGTTGATGATGTTGTTGATGATGATGATGATGATGATGAGGATGAGGTGGAGGAGGAGGGGGAGAAGGAGGACGACGACGAAGATGAAACCGATGATGATGATGCTGATGAGGATGATGAGGAAGATGATGATGAAGATGAGGATGCTGAGGATGATGATGAGGAGAAGGACGATGGCATTTTGACGCCGACGGTGATGATACCTATTGCGCCGATGAGAATGATGAAGCAGTGCCCGCCCGCATTCAGACATCATTCGGGCCATCGCAAGCATGGATCACGGGGGCATGGATCAGCGACGGGTCTCGTTTCCATGGTAAACCGCTGATTTCCGCCGCCGAACGAGGCAGCGCTGGCCGCATTTTGGGGAGGGCAGCTCCCCCGATCCACTGGTTTGGCGACCGCGCGCGACCGCGCGCCAAGTCCATGGATCGTTACTCCATGTTTGCGCGCCCCCGATTGTTGAGCGTTCTCGGCATGCGCGCGCAACTAGCCCACATGGTCTCGTGTAGCACCGATATCCAAGCACCAATGGTGTTCTTATGATTTCAGCCTTAGGTCGGGCACGTCCCTCCACAGGAGGAATAGCCCAAAATCGTTTGCCCATGAATGTTCTACTATTGCTGTCTATTGTTTACTATTTTTCCCAACCCTCCTTGGTTGGGTATTCGTTTTGAATAGAGCAGTGTGGTCGCGTCCCTTCTCCTCCCGCCTCTTCCTGTCTTGCCCGCGGGGGGCTGCGATCTGTGAAACTGTCGCCATTTTCGAGGCCTGCTGGGGGGCCCAGCACAGTGAGGGCCACGCGCGGATTCAAATTAGACCTCGCCATCCCTGGGGGGCTGCGATCTGCGAAACTGTCGCCATTTTCGAGGCCTGCTGGGGGGCCCAGCACAGTGAGGGCCACGCGCGGATTCAAATTAGACCTCGCCATCCCTGGGGGGCTGCGATCTGCGAAACTGTCGCCATTTTCGAGGCCTGCTGGGGGGCCCAGCACAGTGAGGGCCACGCGCGGATTCAAATTAGACCTCGCCATCCCTGGGGGGCTGCGATCTGCGAAACTGTCGCCATTTTCGAGGCCTGCTGGGGGGCCCAGCACAGTGAGGGCCACGCGCGGATTCAAATTAGACCTCGCCATCCCTGGGGGGCTGCGATCTGCGAAACTGTCGCCATTTTCGAGGCCTGCTGGGGGGCCCAGCACAGTGAGGGCCACGCGCGGATTCAAATTAGACCTCGCCATCCCTGGGGGGCTGCGATCTGCGAAACTGTCGCCATTTTCGAGGCCTGCTGGGGGGCCCAGCACAGTGAGGGCCACGCGCGGATTCAAATTAGACCTCGCCATCCCTGGGGGGCTGCGATCTGCGAAACTGTCGCCATTTTCGAGGCCTGCTGGGGGGCCCAGCACAGTGAGGGCCACGCGCGGATTCAAATTAGACCTCGCCATCCCTGGGGGGCTGCGATCTGCGAAACTGTCGCCATTTTCGAGGCCTGCTGGGGGGCCCAGCACAGTGAGGGCCACGCGCGGATTGAATTAGACCTCGCCATCCCTGGGGGGCTGCGATCTGCGAAACTTCGCCATTTTCGAGGCCTGCTGGGGGGCGGGGGCTGCGATCTGCGAAACGTCGCCATTTTCGAGGCCTGCTGGGGGGCCCAGCACAGTGAGGGCCACGCGCAGATTCAAATTAGACCTCGCCATCCCTGGGGGGCTGCGATCTGCGAAACTGTCGCCATTTTCGAGGCCTGCTGGGGGGCCCAGCACAGTGAGGGCCACGCGCGGATTCAAATTAGACCTCGCCATCCCTGGGGGGCTGCGATCTGCGAAACTGTCGCCATTTTCGAGGCCTGCTGGGGGGCCCAGCACAGTGAGGGTCACGCGCGGATTCAAATTAGACCTCGCCATCCCTGGGGGGCTGCGATCTGCGAAACTGTCGCCATTTTCGAGGCCTGCTGGGGGGCCCAGCACAGTGAGGGCCACGCGCGGATTCAAATTAGACCTCGCCATCCCTGGGGGGCTGCGATCTGCGAAACTGTCGCCATTTTCGAGGCCTGCTGGGGGGCCCAGCACAGTGAGGGCCACGGGCAGATTCTAATGAGACCTCGCCATCCCTGCGGGGCTGCGATCTGTGAACCTGTCGCCACTTTCGAGGCCTGCTGTGATCCCCGTTTTCGAAGTGGCTAGGAGTGCTCAGGAATTGTAAATCATCAGCTTTATCAAGCCCTTTTCCTGTAGCCATTGTCCTGCGAGTCTCCCGAATTCCGTCTGCAGACATATGTAACCCTCGCTCCGTCATCGCCCCCTTTATAAAGTATCCTAAACTATTTGCGCCCCGCTTTTGCGCAGGGGTCGGGTACGTCGCCAGGGTAATTTACTACTTTTCATGTTTCGTCCAAGATCCGCCTGTAGGAGGACATGCCCGACCTAATTCTAGCCAGCGCGCATGACTCTGGTTTGTTGAAAAGTGGTCCATCCTTTAAGAGGAGTGTTCTGCCACTCTTAATATAAATGGGTCGTGGGCAGAAAAATAATCATGATGTCCGCCTGGGCCCCCATCGGACGAGCGGACATGCGAGCGCAGTTACGCGCTCGGTCGCGCGCGACCCGCCGCTGGTAATAACGTGAATGCACGGGTGTCGCGGCGACGACGACGGCGACGGCGACGACGACGGTGGCGTTTGCGCCGACGGCGACGGCGACGGTGGTAACAGCGACTGCGAACATTTCGGCGACGGCTGCGCCGTGGCCCGGGCCCACGGGCGAACTTACGCCCCGCCCTCCCGCCAGGAGTCCCGGGCCATGTTTTTGGGAGGGGAGGGTTTTTTTGCGCGCAGATGTTTCCTTCGGCCGTTCTTCCGCTTTACTAAAGCTTTCTTTTCGCTTCAGTGAAACGTCTTTGATTCTTGAATGTGTCGAGCGGCGCGCCTTTACTGAAGCCGCTTCCTCGCTTTAGTAAAAGACATTTCCTCGCTTTAGTAGAGCCGCCTCCGCGCTTTAGTAAAGCCGCTTCCTCGCTTTAGTCAAGTTCGCGGTCTGCCTGAATAAAACCCTGGGGATGCGGTAGTGATGCGGGGCCAAGGCCCTGTCGGGGGGCGGGGGGGCCCTGTTTTTCCTGCCAGTTCACCCCGCGATGCATTTGCTCGAGTAATCACGGTTGCGTTACATCGGGTCGCGGAGACCTTTGGACATGTTCTCAACGAGTTGGAGATGCTCCTTGACAGAAGATTCAGGGCGCGAGCGCAGGAAGTTGCCCGGCAATTCAGACGCGCCGCCGTGGCTATCGCGCAACAGAGCAGAAACACTTGTCTAAAAGGCTTGTTCCCTTTTAGCACATAACTCCTTCAAAGTAATGTGTGAATTTTCCGCTTTCAGATACTGGCAGTTGTTTTTGAATGACATTTCTCGTGTACCCATGGGCGCACGCGGCGGCGTGTGCATGTTCCCCCAGATCAGTTGTCTTGCAGAGATAATATTCGATGAACAGCTTTTAGATCACCGCACGCGCGCCGCATCTCACTCGTTTACTGACACGACCAGGGTGTGTTCGATACCGGCTTGGCTGGGATGCGGTGTGGGGCAGGTAGCCCCAGCCTCGGTTGGCCAGCTGAGTTGATGTAATTTCTTGTGTGAAAAAGGAATGAATTGCGGGCGCCCTCGCAGG